TTTAATAGGAGCTTCTACGTATTTCAACCAGGCTCTTCTTAATTGTACTAGGATTCTTACTAAGCTTTCAAAAAAGACTCGTCTTAATTTCAATAGGGTTCTCATTCATTTTAATGGGGTTCCTATTGATTTAAATAGGATTCCTATTGAACTCATACGAAGCCTATGAATCCTAATAAACTTAATAGGAACCCAAGTAAAACTAAGAGCAATCTTAATAAAATGAATGGCAATCCACGATGTCGAGCAAATTGTTCAGGTCCTTACAGCATGCGTCCTTCTCACATCTGTCTGCATCTTTCAGCGAACACAAAACCGTACTAATCAAAAAAAATATGCTCTATTGTGTGTTAGCGTGTCTGGCTACTGTGTGCAGCTATGCTGTCCGTCGCGCCCTCAGCCCTTTTTTTGCTTCCGGGGTCTGTCGAGGGGGGGGCGTGAGCATATATATATATATATGTATATATCACTGATTTTGTTATCTTGCTATCTATGTTGAGATGTGCCCCGCAAACTCTCCACCTTCGAGGGTCAGAATTGAAAAACGATTTTGGGGTTTAGGGTTTATAGGGGTTGAATCATCTGAGAACCCCAACTCCCCCTTTTGCTCACACTCACGCAGACGGCCGCGCAGCATGCGTGGCTTTTGAAGCCAGCATGCCAGTGCCAACACATTAGCGCGGCCCAAACGGTATTGAGCAAGCAGGCGGAGAAGAGTCCGGATGGAGGCACGGCGACCTCCATATACTGCCCATGTATGGCCTTGGAGCATCATGTGTACTGATAAGTAGAGTTCTAAGCACCCTAAATGGTGTTCTAAGTCTAGTTACCACACTTATAACATCTTAAACCCTGCTCATAACTACCCAGGAACTAGGAACCTCCAAGTATGTTCAGCCTGTGGTTCAGCAAGTGCTGTCCTGCGTGTTGCAACCGATCAATGCTCGCAGTCTTGCCTGTCTGGTAAAGATGGGCATGGTCTTCCACGCAAAGGCATGCCAGTCACAACAGGATCCACAACGAAAACCCTACACCCTAAACCCTAAACCCATCTTTGCAAGACTGCTCGACATCGATGCTCAATCTTCGGAAGATCAGACCGCCTTCAGCGATCAGCTCATACGTGCAAATTAACCAGTGCTCGTTTCGAGCACTGATCCTGCTTGGGCGGCGTGTATCAAAGACAGAATGCCGAGTACAGACAGCTGGACTAACCTTCGTGAACCAGGGCACTCCCCACACGGTTGTAGTTGCAGAATCTACGCCCTTGCCCGTGAAAACAGCAGCATATATGGTTGCCAGCACTGCTCGTAGTCTTGAAGTGGCTTTTGTTGCAGAGCGCGCTCCAGTCTGAGTTCTGCGTTGGCATAGGGGGGGGGTTTGCAACAAGGGGCGATGAGAGAAGATAACTGGCCTGCGTTTTTTGCAGGCCATCAGTAACATCAGCTGGAGCGCGCCGGCATTGTGCCTTCTGAACAGTCTGAGCGTTTCTGGACTTCGGTTCTAAGTTTAGATCCATTTTTTTTCCAGGTTCAGGGTTGCCATATCCCGGGTTCAGTCTGCAGCTGAGAAAGTGATCACCAAGGGCAACGGAAGCGAGCACAATGACTCAAGGTGTATTCTCCTCTGAAAGTGTGACGTCCGCTATACTGCAGGTGGCAGTCATGGCCGTCGTCGTCCGGAGGTGCTTGTAGCTGGAATTGTCCAGGACATCCTGCCTGAGATTACGTGCTCAGGCGGATCCTCCCAAGCTAGTTGCAGCCACCCCCTAAAACCTGAACCCTTGTCCCTTGTCCCTAAACCCTAAACCCTAAACCCTAAACCCTAAACCCTAAACCTAAACCCTAAACCAACCCTCAACCTTACAAAAGGCCTCTGACACATGCAGCCCGTCCCCCCCCCCCTCCTATTTCTCGCTTGAGTGGCACACTCTTCTTGCTGCGCGTCCTCTCTTCTTTGATGCCAGTTGGGCTCTCGGGTGGCTCGCTCTGCGTAGCGGTAGGAGCATTGAAGGTGGCCACGTCCTCTGTTGAGCTTTGGTTTTTTTTTGTTTTTTTTTTTTTTTTTTTTTTGGGGGGGGGGGGGGGGGGGTTTCGGGCTGAGTCTAAGACTGACAAGATGGGCACCCTAAACCCTAAACCCTAAACCCTAAACCCTAAACCCTAAACCCTAAACCCTAAACCCTAAACCCTAAACTCTAGGTTAGGGTTCAGAAGCTTATCGGGATACGGTGCTGGGCTAGGCTCTTCAAGCAACTGGAGTGTGTAGTCGAAGAGAACCTCCAGCTTCGTCTCCATGCGCCAGATGTCCAATGCCTTCCAGCTACTAAAGAGGCAAGGTTTAGGGTTTAGAGTTTAGGGTTTAGGGTTTAGGGTTTAGGGTTTAGGGTTTAGGGTTTAGGGTTTAGGGTTTAGGGTTTAGGGTTTAGGGTTTAGGGTTTAGGGACTCAGACGGACGAAGCAAAAGCAAGCCCGACCCTTGCAACATCTACAAGGTGGGCCCCCCTTACTATACTAACTGTAGTTAAGGGACTTATCGCCTAATCTAGGATCCTTGTAACCCAATTTAGGGCTCTTATCACTCTACTTATAACTAGGGGGCCCCCACCTTGTAGGGTGCAAGTCCCGGTCCTTTTGAAGTCCTAAGACTCCCAAAGCTTTCTTGAAGCCCTCAACTCTATAAGAGTTCAAACGCACACACACACACACACACCAAATAAGAGTTCAAACACACACACACACACACACTCTCAAAAAAAAAACTGACTTTCTAAAAACGCTGCCCTAAAACTGCCCAAGGGTTTTAGCCCCGAAGAGCCATGTTGGCTCCCCCAACCCTAAACCCTCCACCCTAAACCCTGAATCTGAATAAACCCTACACCCTAAACCCTACACCCTAAACCCTGAATCTAAACACCTTGTTGCATCCAGGCATTGGCCCTAAAACCCTATACCTCATCCCCTTGGTCGCCTTGGCGCTCCCGCGGAGCCGCGCAGCTCCTTCGATGAACTCCTCAACAATCTCTTTGTGTGTGTTTAGTGTGTTTAGGGCCCTCTCGCCTCTCGGGTTCAGGATTTAGAGTTTAGGGGTGGGGAACTTGTGAGATTTTTGTCATGTGCTTGTGAAATCTGGTGCTTTCTGCCCAGGGCTTGCGTTCTGACTCTCCGATGGGTTTAGGGCTTTTGGGGTTTCGGGTTTTCCAAATACGTGGAGGTTCTTGGGTCGGTATAAGTCGGGTTGTAAGTATGGTAACTATGCCTTTTGAACCCTAGTTAGGGTACTTATAGCCCTACTTGTAAGCACCCATGAACCCTAAACCCTAAACCCTGAACCCTAAACCCTAAACTCCAAGGGAAGGGTTCCCGCCGGGATCAGGGGCTTGGAGTTTCATCGGGGAGCCTACAGCCCATAGTCGGGACCCTAAACCCTAAACCCTAAACCCTAAACCCTAAACCCTGAACCCTGAACCCTAAACCCTAAACCCCAAAATGTGCGTGGCAAGGGCGCTCAGAGAACCCCAACCCCCTTCATGCTATCCCAGTACCCCTTTTCCCTAAACTGCTTTTCATCCCCTAAACCCTGGCCCCTAAAACCCCAACCCTCCAACTCTGGAGTGGGGGTTGAGGAGTTTAGAGTTCGGGCCTGGGAGCCCTACATTCCGAGGCTTTCAAGGGTAGAACCCCTGGTTCTTAGAAGGGAATGAGTGAATTCGGGGCTTGTAGGTTATATTGGTTGGTGGTCTCTTTTAAGTAGGGTTTCTGTCCTGTAGGGGGGTTCTTATTGGGGTATCGAGGGGCTATGTTAAGGTATCAGGGTAAGAGACACAGAGGCCACCGGCCTTCATAAATTATAGGGGCTTACGTAGACCCTTTAAGGGAGTGGTCTGGGGTTTAGGGTTTAGGGTTTAGGGTTTAGGGTTTAGGGTTTAGGGTTTAGGGTTTAGGGTTTAGGGTTACCTCATTCCCTCATCTACTAAGAGCAAGCAGATGCTGCTCTGAGCTTCGGCCAAGGTGATCTCCCCATCTCCGTTGTCCAGGAACCTCACACCCAAGGAACTTGGGTTTAGGGTTTAGGGTTTAGGGTTTAGGGTTTAGGGTTTAGGGATCTCAAGGATGTTGTGGTCATGGCGACGGTATATGGTGGGTTTCCGCGCGTTTTTGGAGGTACCTTCTTGGGGGTCCTTGTTATAAAGGGGATACTACTTTTTAGGGATCTATGTTGGGGGCCCATCTGTTCGCTTCTTTTTCGCTACCCCAGCCGAGATATTGATTTGGGTTGTTTTCGCCTGATCAGATTTTTGGTTTCGGGTTGAGGGTTGGTCTCCGCAACGCCAGCTTGGATTGCGGAATGACTGCAGCTCGAATTCGAAAACTGCCAATAACATTCATCCGAAGGGCTCGAAGAGGCTCAGCAGGTCATGATACTCCAGTTCCAGCTGGCTCATCCAGAATTTCCTTAAAGGCGCGTCAGAACGGCACAACTACCCCCACGACAGGAATAGCAACAGCTCTAGAATTTCAAAAGAATATCTGATGACACGACTCATCTTTTTCTATATTAATAGTATATAGTTGCATAATCATAACGCTAACTTTTGTTATCGAAAAGCCCTAAACGGTCCCAATTGGCCCCAACAAAGGGAAGTTGCACATGGACAGAGGGACGCTCTGCACTCTATAGTAGTATCGCCAGGTTTAGGGCGCTTTATCTGGATTTGAGGGTACGATCCTCCCCTTCTAGTCGTCATAAAACAATATCGTTGTTCATATATTCCCTCGTGTATAAAAGATTCCTAAGGGGACTATAGGGTTTGGTAAGAAGCACAAATCAGGCAAGCAGCAACTTCGGTGATTGCACGAGTTTCGTGAATTCCTGCGCAGGTTTGTTGTCTTGGATCAGGATCCAATAGTGCAAAACCGAAACCCCAAACCCTAAACCCCAAACCCCAAACCCTAAGCCCTGAGCCCTAAACCCTAAACCCTAAAACTAAACCCTAAACCCTAAACCCTAAACCACTTTACACCCTGAAGTTCTGTGGCCTCCCTTGCAAAGGTGTCTTTGCACAACTCTGCTCGCACTTTGAAAGGGGAAAGAACACATCTCGTAGCGGGCTCCTCGAGGTTGATCGAGCCGTCACCGGAAACGTCTATGTTCTGGAAGAGCTTCTTGACTTTCCTTGCTTTCGGGGGAGCTGAAGTCGTGATGAGGGTAATTAGGGCCGATATGGGCTTAATGCACTCGCAAAGCTCGGGGCGGCATTCCCGGTTGCTCAGCATACGCTCGTGCGAACATCTTCGATCTCCCTGTGTGCATGCCCGATAGAATTCTCTAGAGTCACGCGCAAGGTGTCAAGCCGACGGTATTCAAAGGTCGTCCCTTCTGAGCACTTACCCTAAACCCTAAACCCTAAACCCTAAACCCTAAACCCTCAAGGTCCAAGGCACCTGTTGTAGAGCGCCTTGTCCTTTTCTTTCTGCTTGAAGGCCAGATCTTCGTCTGAACTGGCAGTCTTCATCGTCTGCTGCACGAAAACTGAGTTCACCACGTTCCTGGCTGTTTGGTAGACCACGATGAAGTGCAACAAAAAATATGTGTTTATAGCTTTATGAGGATTATGTAGGGGATTATATAAGGGAACAAAAATAAATAAAAAAATATGTTCAAACCGACCCCTGGTTCAACAACGCAAATCCAAAGACGCACCGGTAAAGCAAGAAGAAGATGGCGAACCATTCGCTGATGTCTTCCACCACGACTCTACACGCGGGGCCCCAATTTGCCTTGCGGTAGGCCAGGTACATCACCAGAATGATAAAAGGACCATAACCCTGAACCTTAAACCTGTTTGGGTTGGTGACCTGTTGGTGATGATATGAAAGGGGAACCCGGAAGCCAAAAAGGGCACGATGGGCACCACTGTCAGTGTACCAAGCTGCAAACATCACCTCGAACATCGTCAAGAAACTGCGGGTGAAGGTTCCATAGTAGAGGAATACCTCCTCACGAGTGGCCAAGCTTTGTGACCTGTCCTAGGTGTCGAGTTCAACAGTCCCCAAAAATTATATATACTTATAGGGCTCCATATTCAACAACAAGGGGAAATCAAAAACATGTCCCCAAATCGATACCTAGCTGTCGTTGCAGTACTGAACCGCAAAGATGTTCAGGACAATTGCAGCCACCTGCACCATTGTTGGGGTACACCACATAAGAATTATCATGTTTGCTCCTTAATGTGTTGAAGTATTCACAAAGGTGTAAAACTACTCTCAAGAATGACCCAGCCACGGCTTGGAGGAGGGACAAGAGGCAGAAGGTCCAGAACAGCATGCCCCGGCTGGCTTGCAGACATTTCACCTGGCTCCAGACAGCCCCCCAACTTGAGGAACTAAAAATCGCAATGTCGCAGTACATATATGTATATATATATATATATATAATGCAATATAATATACGTCATACTGCTTCAGTCTCTGGAGCCGACTCCCCCCCCCCCCGTCCCCCCTCCCCTCCGCCCCCTCCCCTCCCCTCCCCCGCCCCCCCCTCCCCCCCCGCCCCCTCCCCCCCCGCCCCCTCCCCCCCCCCCCAAAAAATGAATGCAGCCAAGGCTCGAGAAGTTGCAAGGGTGAAAGGCTGCTTGCAAGCCCAAGCAGCTTCAGGGCCCGAAAGAGCTTTCCAATGCGAAGTATGCGCAGCAAGAAGAGAGCTTCCTGGTAGCCCGAGGATGTCTTCTGAAAAAACCAGACCACCTCGATGGCGCAAGAGACCCCCGCGATCATGTCGATGTAGTTGAGCCAGACACGGCAGACCAAGCTGCGAAGGACGAGGAGTCGAAGTAGCGGCTCAAGCACAAACATGATGGCAAAGCCCACATCTCCTGAAAGGAAGATGGCTCGCCAGTAAGCAAAGGCTTCACTGGGTGGCGGCTCCCCTTGCAGCTCCAAGCCCACCATCTGCCCTTCCACTTGCAACCTAGGCAAGTAGCGTTTAGGGTTTAGGGTTTAGGGTTTAGGGTTTAGGGTAGCTTCTTAGTCGCCAAGCAGGGTGCATTAGGGTCCTAGGACTCTAGAACTTTAGGCCCAAACTCGGGACAAGAACAAATTCCAAGCGTGTATCCTAGGCACCAGACAGCCATCCAGGCCAGGTTGAGGAGCACGAGCGCTGACATCAACACCTCGAAAGTCGGAGAAAGGAGACACTGCTTGAGAGATCCCCTTGCTGGGCTACTTTGGCTCGTGGTGAGGTCGGACTGAAAAGTCTGCTTCGGGTAGTCGATGCTGAAGGGCCCGCTGCCTGTGGCGGACTCGAGCTCATCGTGGCTGTCCCAAGCTCTAAGAATCTTCTCCGCAGTCACTACAGCCGATGACTGCCCCGAGGAACGGGGGCCGACCATGGCGGGCGACGTGTACGCCGGATCCATCTGCGTGGTGGCCTGTGAGGAGGTGCCCAAGTTGCCCAAGTTGCCCAAGTTGGCCAAGGGGCTCAAGGCGCCCAAGCCTGAGTCACCAGGTCTTCCTTCCAAACTGGTCCTGGCGGCCTCCACCTCGGCCACGTGTGCCTCCATCAGCTTCCTTAAGGGGACGAACTCTGAACCCCCAAAAGGGGTTTATGGTTTCATACACCTTCAGTAGGAGTTATGAGTAGTATAAGGGTATAGAACCCCCCAATTTTAGAATTTAAAGAGGCCGAAATTCCTTAAATTCCTTAAATTCCTAAATTAAATTTAGGGTTCATTTTTTGGTGCCCCCAAGGTTCTTCAAGAGCACGGAGAAGTCGGCGGAAGCCGGCTGCTTCGGCTGCTTCGACCCCCTCCTCTCGGCGCGTTGCTTCGACCCCGACCTTGGGCACCCAAGGAACCCCTTTAAAATTGGGGGGTTTTTAAACCCTAAACCCTAAACCCTAAACCCTAAACCCTATACTACTATAATTCCTATTAAGGTACATGAACTCTAAACCCTTTTAGGGTTCGTAGTTCGTCCCCAAGGGACCGGCCGACGCGGGGCTTCGGGAAGTTCAGCGGAAGACTCGGCAATGGTTCGAAGCCATCCCAGCTCCTTTTTCTCCCCTTAGAACCTTCATAAAAAAATGATGTTCTAATATCCTCTTGGGTTTTATATAAAGTACTCCCCTTAGAACCTTCATAGAAATGATATTTCTAATATCCTCTTGGGTGTTATATAAACAAAAATACTTGCCAAGGGGGACATAGGCTCGGAGAGACGTCCCCTTCGAGCTTGTCTTGCTCCGGCTTCAGGGATCTTACATCCTCCAACTGTCGTGCCGGCGTCTGAAAGCCATGGCCCGAATCCATGAAGGGGGGCGCGAGCTAAGTCGACTCTAGTTAACCAAGCTCAGCCATGTCTGCGGCGTGGCGCTCAAGATCGACGTACCCCTCAAAACCTCGCCAAGCTACTCGGATCCCTCGCTGCTAGCAAGACATGGCTTGACATCCTGAGCCCTAATACTGGGGTCCTAGGCCCTATACTACTACAACTCCTACTAAGGTATATGAACCCATAAACCCTTTCAGGGTTGATTTCATCCCAAAGCCCACCATCCCCCCACATTCCCACGAATCACAAGGATGCCCCAAGCTGGTCTCCATGGCCCCTGAGAGGGCTCCTAAGTCGGCTCCGGTAAAAAGGGGGCCCCTGGTTTCGATTCTATTCCCCAGATACCCATGATGCAAAAAGAGGCGGTCAGTCTTCCCAGAATATAGGGTGTTGCAGAAACAACGATGGTTCCTCGGGGGGGGCTGGCCGGTTTAGAGCTTCGACTCTCGCGCTCGCGCTGAGCTGGCAAGGCTGATTTGGGTTGAGGGCTTCTACGGTTTGAGAAGGGGACGCTGTGGGAACGCACGGGCCAATATTGAAACATGGGCGTTGATTCAAACTGTTCATGAAGATGACAGGGGAGAAAAATGGCCTGGGATCCAAGATTCCCTCCCCCCACCCTAGCCGCTGCCCATCAGTATCCAAAGCACACCATTCACTTGGTTGCTCCTTAACCCCCCCAACAAGAGTGTTACTTCTGGCTCCCTTGATATGAAAGTAGAGGAACCCTAAACTTATAAAGTGATAAAGTTGTAGTGCAGTCCCACCTAGTTCAGTGCTTGGAGCTTCATGGGTACTTCTAACGCCGACTATGACCGGCGAAGTTCCGGGACGGCGCTGGAACCTAAAAGGCGGTGGGTGCTACTCCACGGCAAACGATGAAAGGAAGAGGAAGAAGAATAGAAGAACAGCACCACAGCACCAACACATGACTCACTGGCAGGGATTTTTTTTGCAATGAAAGGCTCCAGACGATGCGGCAAGCCACCCTGTGAGGAAGCAAGCAATTGGCACCCGCAAGGAGCGGAAGAGGCTGGGCTTTGCAGTTCGGAAATCAATAGCCCAACCTGAAGAAGCCTCCGACCCAAAAAAAAAAAAAAAACACAGGCAAGACCCCGCCCCCAAACCAGACCCAAAAGCCCCCAGTCAGGGTACAAGAGGCATGTAGGCTCGGAAGTCCGCCACCATGATGCTCCCAAAGGGAGAGAGGGACAAGGGCAGCAGACAGACCGGACTGTTACAAGTCGTGCCCTCGCAGAAATCAGGAATCTCGCCCTGCTCCTGGCTGCCAATAAAAAGACTGTGGGGCCGTTCTCCAGCAAGCAAGCACTTCCCGACCAAGGTCTTGTCAACCATGACGTTTGTCACGTTGGAAGATTGTTTTCCGTTGGACTTTGGCATTCTGGAAACTCAAAAAAAGCAGGGCGAGCATTGATGCTCTGCTTGTTTTGCCAGCTCTAAGACTGTAAGTCGAGGTACTGACAGACGTACTATTCACTCAAGCTAGGGCATGCCCACGCTGCTTGTGAGCTTCGGTTCAAGCCTGAAGCCCGAAGCTTGTGAGTGCAGCTTTGAAGTTTACAGCCTGTAAGCTTCCCGAGCTTGGTAATCTTCGCGTGACATGTGAAGCTCGCGAGCTTTCCTGTTGAAGTCTGAAGTCTGAAGCCCGCGACCTTCGCAAGTTTTGCGAGCTACGCCTGAAGTCACTTCTGTACGCCCCTTGGAGCCTTAATAAAAAATCACATTTTTTAGGATGAATTCTTGCCTTCTCGCTAGTCCTGAACTATCTGAAGGCCGAGAGACTCTGAATCCGCCCTAGAGCCCATCGCAGAAGCGGCACAAACAAGGGTGTGAGTTTCCGCGATTGTGCTCGGCACTCTTTTTTTGCTCTTGAAGGCTTCTCTCAAGGACTCTCACTCTGCTGGGATTTGAGGTTGCTATTTGTTGCTGATTCTGGCAGGGGGTGGGTGGGGTGAGTCCGGGGGGTGGGTGGGTGGGTGGGGGGCTGGGTGGGGGGGGGGGTGGGTCGGGGGGGGAGGGGTGGGTGGGGGTGATTTGTGCGGATTGGCCGTGCAAAAAAAGATACAAAAATCGAACAAGGTGGGCACACACCAGGAATACACTCCAGGGATACTATGGTGGAATTCTTTGGGGGATACTCTCTGCGTCACTCTGCCGGATTGGCCTGGCACTCCTTTTTTGACTGCCAACAGCTCCAAGTCTGCCAGGCTTCACTCGAAGTAGGCGCAGTGAATGCTTGGACTGTGCCAGCCACTTGCGCGTCTCGGAGCTGCGTGCGAGCAGTGCGACCTGTCGAAGCTGACCCGCGCGTGGAGGGCAGTGACAGGGCTTCTTCGAACCCGTCCACGAACCTGAAAGCCCAAGCTGTGCAGGCAAGGGGCCTTTGTGACAAAGAGCCGTATCGCAGATGGGGCTTCTCACGTGCGTGCTACGATTGCTATGGGCTATGAAGGACTTGGCGAGACCTGCCCTCCAGACTGCATCACGTAGCCAGCAGCTTGACGGGATTGTGCCCTCACCACATTGGGTAGTCTTGATAGTCTGCGCAAACGAAAGGTTGGAAAGCTCTTGGGGTTCTTGCCGCCAACAGCTCAAACCCAACGCGCCAGTGAGTAAAGGCAGTCCATCGTCGAGGTGCCCGATTTCCCCTTCATCCTTCCCCTGCAGAAACCTCCAGTGAGCTGCGTTAGCCCCTTAACGGATGTAGATCAGCCCATGGTGTGCCACGACATGCGGGATTGTTTTGAAATCTGTGGGCATCTGAGACTTCAAATGAGATGCTGGAGTCTGTAAAAGAGAGTACTCTCGCATGTTTCCGCTCACTTGTGGTCATGGTCATCCCCATCCATCAGCTTAGGCCCGGCAGGCGGCCAAAGGCAGCCACGAGGAGTGGGTGGCATGATGACCGAGATAGGGTGCCGCTGTGTCACATCTGATGTGCATCGCAGCGGCCGGGTTTTGGTCACCAACTTGGCAAGAAGCAAAGATGTGCGAATGCTGCAACGCGCATCTCCATGCAAGTCTAGCTGGAGCCCGCCCCATCACGGCTGGTCCCCTGTGAGCTTCTCGCCACGCGCTGAAGCAAGGCGATGTCCAGGAAAGTGAGATCTGGGCGTGCCGTCTACGAAGCTGCCGCAGCTACGGTCCGCTCCGCTCAAACTGCGCAGCAAATGTCTTGCTTTCAGGCACCTTCGCCGGCCAGCTGCCAAGGATCGACAAATCCCTCCTGGCCTCGACCTCTCTCGGCACGTTGGGCCCCGTGCTGAGGCGCCGGAGGTCTTTGTTGCTTGGCCTCATAGGAAGGGCTCTATGGCTGCAATAGGACTCTAGGTGTTACGTATCTCGAAAGGTCGGGAGGGCAAAGTCAAGCGCAGCGCCAGCTGTGCAGAGCTTGGCATCCAAGCTGCACAGCAGGGCCGATCCCAGAGGGCTTCTTAGGTATGCCCTGAAGCCTTCTTTATCATGTAGCCTGCTTCAATTCTTCTCTTGTTCCGATGTTGTCTTGTCAAGAAAGGCCTTAGAAGGTCCAACCTAGTTGGGTATGACTGATAAGATCAACTAGGCCTCTGACAGTCCAAGGTTTCAAGAACCCAAGCCTGGCAAAACCTTAAGCCCCTCGGCCTTAAGGGTTTAGGGTTTTCGGGGCCTGTGTGTTCATCCGAGGCTGTATGACATCCTAACACCTATCCAGGGCACCACTCTGATGGTGGCTCATCAACGGATTTCGGCGGTTTCGGGCTAGCAGGGCTTTGAAGTTTTGGGGCTACACTCCTGGGGTTTGTACTGCTTGTAGCATGTTCGGAAGAGAACGAGAGACTCGCACATATTGGCACTACAGCACTTTCTCAGATCTTCGAGGTCTGACGTGCGCATTTTAGGGTTGGGGTATGTCCCTGTCGGCCCTTGTAGGAACCTATTTCTTCTGAGTGGGCCTTCCATCGGCTGGAATGTAATGGCTCCGATGGCATGACACGTACGTAGTTGGCCATCAGCTTGCGAGATGTCCATGTGTTGCTTGTGGCATAGCAGTCGCGCTTGCTGTGGTTGGAGTGCAAGAATGCTTCCGCATTCAGGGCCTTCCAACTGACGCTATCCGCTCAGGGGCTACCCTCAGAGACGCCGTGCAGGAAGCCACCGGGCCGAAACAAAGGTCGTGCAAGGCTCACTGAAGCAAAGCGGCTCACTGAAGCAAAGCGGCGAAAACACTTCCTTCCGACGTTGGGTGAAGTCGCGATTTCCCGAAAGAGCAGGTTGCAGAGACACGGGGGCGAGAGAAGATCGCTCATGTCCAGAAAAGGAGATCGATCTCACTCCGCAGGACTGTGAACCATACACCCTGCGGGCGAGGGGGACGGTGGGGCGGATGTGCATCGTTACAACCTCCGGGGTCGACTGTCCTTCGGCTGCCATCAGCTTGCGAAATGTCCATGTGTTGCTTGTGGCATAGCAGTCGCGCTTGATGTGGTTGGAGTGCAAGAAGGCTTCCGCATTCAGGGCCTTCCAGCTGCTGCTATCCGCCCAGGGGCTAGTCTCAGAGACCTCGTGCAGGAAGCCACCGAGCCGAAACAAAAGGTCATGCAAAGCAGCTAAAGCACTTCCTTCCGACATTGGGTGAAGTCGCGACTACCAGAAAGAGCAGGTTGCAGAGACAAGGGGGCGAGAGAAGATCGCAAATGTCCAGAAACGGAGATCGATCTCAACCAAGAGCTGCTCTGCAGGACTGTGCACCATTTACAGCCTTTTTCAGCCTTAGGGTCAACCATTTCCGCCCCTCTCTCAAGCCATACACCCGACGGTTGGGGGGGGCGGTGGGGCGGATGTGCATCGTTACAAACCCGGGGGTCGACTGTCCGCTGCCATCAGCTTGCGAGCAGAGCAGTCGCGCTGGATGTGGTGGAAGTGCAAGAATGCTTCCGCATTCAAAACTTCCAACTGATGCTGTGTTCAGGGGCAGTTTCAGAGACCTCGTGCAGGAAGCCACCGGGCCGAAACAGAAGGTCGTGCATGGCTCACTGAAGCAAAGCTTCTAAAGCGCTTCCTTCCGACATTGAGTGAAGCCACGCCGTGAGTTCCAGAAAGAGCAGGTTGCAGGGATACAGGAGCCAAAGAAAACCATTTCCACACGGAGTGCACTGTGAAGATCAAAGAACATTGCATGATGGTTGATTAATAGCCGATCTCGATGCATTGCGCGGAAGGTACGAGACGTAACCGTGCTATGCGATGTGACCATGCGCCGATCACCCATCGATGAACGCTCTTGGCCTGGGACACATCGCTCTCAATGTCAGCAGCAGTGATCTGAACCTATTCTCTCACCTAAACCCTAAACCCTAAACCCCAAACCCTAAACCCCAAACCCGAAACCCTAAACTCTCTATTCCAATACTTTCAATCAGGCTTTGCTTGAGGCTGGATGACGCGAGAAGCAACTCGGGAGACGCGGGGCTTAGGGTCAGTAGTCTTTTCCTACAGATCTGGAGTCTCTTTGAGTTTAATGCAAAACTTCGCAAAACCTCTGGAAAATGGTGCTATGGCCCCTACGCCTTCTCCCATGTAAACGCAAACCCAAAAGTCGAGACAAGTTCTGGCCCCTTCGCTTGCCCCATGCACACGAAGAGGCACCATGTGCCGCCACAAACGAATATATGGGGGTCTACGATGTTAGGTGGGGTCCTTCTTATAAGGGGATCCTTTTGGGGGGCCTATAACCCCCGCATTGGTAAGGATTCGGCAAGCCATCGGCAAGCCATCAAGACTCAAAGGCTGAGATCGGCCAGTTTCGGCAGCACGCGCGCCCGTGGCCCAACTGCCAAGCATCGATCTTCCAAGCAGCTGATCTTCCACACAGCGCTTCGAGGACTCAGAGTTGCAAAAGGATCTGGGTACGGATCTATAGGTAGGAAAAGGAAGCCGCTTCGAGCTGCGCGAGAAAAGCAGCGGTTATAAGATACAAGTGGGGCGCTGCGTAAGGCGAGCCTGGGCTTGTGTGCAAGGGCACAACTCCAGGCTACAACTGCCGAAGTCGTCAACCATTCGACACATGAAAACCCCCTTGACATGTAGTTTAGCCTCTGAACATACTCATTTTGATGATTGTGTTGTATGTCTTGAAGTGCCGCCCCCAAAGCTTGCTGGTGTTTCAGCATTTGCCTCTCATTGTCTCCAAATAACACTTCATTTTCCTTGCTGTTTGGGTTGGGCCACGGCTTCTGAGGTACAGCCTGGCACAGAAGGAATGGTCACACTTCCCCGCAATTCCCCGCATCAAGTCGCAGGCAAGCGGGCCTTTAGACAACTTGGTACAATTTTCACACGACCTCCAGCTCTCGACAGGGGCTTGCTTCTGGAGCTATCGTTGCCACGGCGTGCTCCGTCGAAGAGCGTCTTCGCATGGAAGAAAGCATGGGAGGGATCAGGACCTGTGCGAAGCCAGGACAGAAAGGATCCCGGAGCTAGGGCCCCTAGAAATTTCCAGAACTTCCGCAAAGGGCCTCTTAGAACTTTGGACAGGGAACTCAATGTGAAAGACTGCGCTCAGCACAGTCAGGAGAAGCGCAGTGAGACAGTGGATCAACCGGAGGGATCATGTAGGAAGACCTGACAATTGAGGCAGGTTCCTTGACCGTGTCGTCCACGCCTACTACACTGTTGTCCACGCCCACTCCGGCGGGCGGCGCGAGAGCAAAGTTGTAAGCAGAATGCAAGCCTGAGCCAGACCACTACTGAAAGGAGCGGCTGTGTTGGCGAGTCTTGTTGGAGGCACGCGGCAACAGCAACATCTTCACAAGCCAATGTCCTGCATCAGCCTTTTGCGGGTTTAGAGCCGACCCTGGGAGCTTCCAACTGCCTTAGCTGCACAGAGTTCCTGTCGTTCGGTGCGCAGGACCACCGGCTCGGCCTTTCTCGCATAGCTCGGCCCATGCAACTTCGCTCATTCCTACGCCAGTCCACCTCACCATCCGGAAGTATCTTCTCGTTGGCAAGTGAGCCAGGAGCTCAGAAAGCTTTTGTTTAGGGCTGGAGGTTTTAGGCTGCAAAGGCGGTACGGCGCCAAGCCCACATTCACCTCAAGGACACGAGCAAAACGGAGAGTTGCAAAGCGGCGTGTCCTGTCGGGGGCACGTACATGCCACGCTTTCCGGCCGATTTTGGGCAGCTGGGGTATTCAACTTGCCACTTGAGCCCCTCACAAGTGCATTATGTGTTGTATCCAACATCAAAGAAACGCAGACACAAGACCAACCACCATGTAGCCTCGGTCATCTGATCCGCAGTGCGGGTCCGGGACGAGTACGTGCGCAGAAAATGGAGTATGAATATTTATGAATCTATGAATCATACAAAGACAGCGAGCTGCTCACAGCAAGAGCCGCTGGAGATGTGCCACAAAATTCGCTGGCTGCCCAGGCTCCGGGCACAGGCACTCCGCGGCGGGCACCTGCAGCCAGCAAAACCGCAGAAACCGCCGCACGCCAGCGTGTGCCTGTACGAAGTGTCGGGCATTGGGCTGCATTCGCGTGCCCTGTAGGCAAGAACCAGGCAAGGGCGACCAGAGAGCTGCCTGGTAGCTACGCCGGTGCTCCCTAAACCCCTAAACCCGAAACCTTGAACCCTAAACCCTAAACCCTAAACCGCCTAGAGTTTGGGACTATCAACTGTGCCAACCACCACATCGCACGTGGCACAGAGCTGAAGCTTCAGCGGCATACCTTCTGGGTGCCTTGCACGTGCTCTGAAGTGATGTCCAAGTAGTGTAAGACAAGTAGGCAACCCACCTGCTCGACTTGGTTCTGGACTCTGACCGATGCAAGAACTGAATGCGAGAAGTAGATTTACCTCCCGCCCATGGAAGGCTGCATTATGTCTGGTCTCAGTGCAAGCTTGTGTGATTACAGGGGCGTGTGTGCGTGGATGTAGGCACGGGGACAGAACCGGATCACAGCAGACATGCAAATCGTACCCCAAAGCTGCTTAAACTGATGTGCTGCGCCAGTCGGTTCCGGATTGGGCGCAAGCGAGGCAATGGCCCAAGCGAACCCTGCGATGCTTTGGACTCTGGTGGTGGCAACCGCTGAACAGCTCGAGCACAACCCAAAGAGCTGGTTCGCAGAGGCGCCCAAGAGCGAATTTGGTATCAAGCAACGCTTGCCTTCTAGCGTCGTTCAACCAGCATCATCCCCCCAGGCAAAAGCTGCAGGGCACCTTATAAGGACAAGTTGAAGCCGAGCGGCTGTGCTATGCGTGCCAGTGCCAGGCGTGCCAGAATTTCTGTACATGGAGGCAGGTTCCCGGGTTCTGACGTGCAAGGATCCGTCTCCATTTCTGGGTCGATTTGGGTGGCTGGCCCTGAGGCGCCGCTTTACTGGCTAGCAAGGTTAAGGGTTTAGGGTTTTGTTGCCACCCCTGCAGGGTTTAGGGTTTAGAGTGTAGGGCTTAGGGTTTAGGATCCTAAACTCAACTGAATCCATTTTCCTCTCTTTGCCTGCGCACGTCGGCCAAGCTGTCTGGCCACATCGCCGACGTGCCGGAGTTTGACAGCTCTCAGGGATGTCTGGCACTGGCAGCGCCGTGTGGCAGCCCCCCTATATTGCTCTCCACACCTTGGGACCTTGCGGCTCCTGGCACGTCTCCTTTCGAAGCGCGGCAGCGCGGTGCGCGTAGGTGCGCTTCGCCCCGTGGGCCAAGGGATGCTGTCTCGGGCTTCTCGGGCATTGTTTGGGTTTCAAAGCTCGGACGCTATGGAATGGGTCGAGCTGGCGACGCAAAGACTAATTTGTCAAACCAAGAAAATGCAAAGATTGTCCAACACCAGAGAGCGCGAATGAGTGAGGCAACTTCGCAGTCTGAGCTGCTCGGCCGCGCTTGTTTTTTGGAAGCTCGGGGCCAGCTGACACGGATACTGCGGGGTCTGGATTCGCCCAGCTGAAAGCAGAAGTGCCCCCGCTTCGCAATATTGACCACATCGGCACTGCCATCGAGGGGCATCAAACATCGCTTGGCCAAGATGTGGCCGTGCAAGCGCCGCTCAGCACACTGGCCGCAGTGGTCCAGGAGCACGCTCGTCCAGGTTCCAGACGAAATCCAAATCCAGAGTTATGCAAAGCAAGTGTTTAGGGTTTAGGGTTTGGGGTTTAGGGTTTAGGGTTTAGGGTTTAGGGTTTAGGGTTTAGGGTTACAGCGAGCCTGCGCTGTGCTCTTCGGACGGGGACGGCGCCGTGCCTCGTCGAAGCCTGCCCTGGACGTCGACAGGCCGCAGGCCAACGGACGCATTTGCTTGGCAGGCGAGGGTGCTCATTTAAGGGGCAATTTAGGGTTTAGGGTTTAGGGTTTCGGGTTTAGGGTTTAGGTAGCCGCTTTCTGGCCACCTAGCGGGACGTCTTGCATCGCAAAGCCGAGCGTCCTCCGCACGTGGACGACAAGGACCCCTCAAACAAAAAGAATGGAAGTGGCCCCCGGTGCTGACAGGACAGTAGCATTGGTTGGATAACCGAAGGTTGGCACGAACCTGCTTTGCCTGGCTGTGTCTATGGCATCTATGGCATCAACCGTTGTTGTGCCCAAAAAGAGCATGCCGAAAGTAAGGATCTCACAGAAGAAAGCTTCAA